TAGGCGCCGCCGGCAGTGGCAGCTGTTGTATGCGTCTGCGGAGCCGCGGGCAGCGGGGGAGCAGCAGGGCGAGTCCGTACAGTATTCCCGGGTCAAATGGCGAGCAGGACTGGGACCAGATCAAGCCGTGGAGCAAAAAACGGGTCGGTGTTGTGGACGAGGATGACGACGACCCGCACAGGCTCCTCCAGGAGTTAATTTTATCTGGGAATCTAATCAAAGAGGCCGTTCGGAGGTTGCAGTTCTCAGCCGCAGCTGCGGACAACGTGTCGTGCTGATGAAGGGTACAAGACGCACCGTGGACCAGGGATGTTTTTCCTGTTCCTTCGCCACAATGACACTATACACCCGGGGACTGATTAAGACTAAATGAATTCACAATAATGGTAGCTACGTTTTTTTCCACCAAGTTTCGGACGTTTTGTAATGTTTTTTTGTTTTGTTTTTTACGATAGCAATTGTTAGCCACTCAGGCTAATGAGCCGTGATGTTTATGTTTGAATAATGTGGAGGAGGTAGAGGGTTGAGGGCAATATCAAAGGCAAAAAGACTCGAAATGTTTTAAGGAACGGAAGAGTCGTTGATGTATAATATCATTTTACAAAACGTTGTGGTTTTTACTTCAGAAATCCTGCGTTTCTAACCACAAATATTTTAAGGTCTGGTCAGAGCCCTTGCATCATGGTGGCAGCCATCTTGCACCGCCATATTCTTTTGCTGACACTGTCATCGAAAGATGTTTATTTTAATGGCCGTGTAAAAACTACTTATTTAATGTTGCCATAAATAATGTAGGCTAGCACACGTTTCACGTTTCTCTGTAAATATGGACAAATATGTTTGCCAAATAGGAATGGGACAAAATGGCGTTTTTCGAAGTTGAGAATTTTTCAAAAAGTCAAATTTCCTTTTTCCATTTCAATTTCTCTCGTGAGTGGATTTTTTTTTTGAAACCCATATATCTAAATTAGCTGGAAAGTGTTGATACATTATTGCAACTTTTTTTAAATTTAGGATTTCTTTAGTACATTAGCTGGAAAGTGTTGATACATTATTTCAATTATTGCAACTTTTTTGAAATTTAGGATTTCTTTAGTATGATTGTTTTTTAAATTTAAAAACTCAGACATACTCACTTGCTCACTCCATTGAACTAGCGAAAGACAATCTAAGGGAAGGCTCAAAATATTCCCTTTGTACCATAACAACTTTAATTAACATTAGTTTACACTGCATCCAACACCGTTTAGTTAGCAAGAATACAAACTAATAACAGTGGGTGACTGCCCTGAGGGAATGCTTACAGATGTTTGTTTTTGTTTTTTTTCATTTAGAGAAAATAAGAGGAAATTGCAGTTAAAAATGTCAACGGCCTTTCCAATTTTCAGCTGAGCTTTTTGTCTTTTCAAATGAGCTCACTAATACTGTGAAACGCACTTATTCAACTGCCTTTGACTTCACAACCTAAAATGATCCCATATCTATTTTGCAAACATTTGTCTTAAAGGCAGCGAGGTGAACAGGAAGTTCCAGCAGGAAGTTTGTATTTAAGAACTGAACTTTGATATGTCTGGGCCAAGAATGAGGAGGGGTCGAGTGGAACCTTCCTCTGAGTGTTTGAAAGTCCGTTACACCAGCTTTAACAGACTATTTTCATTAAAAATGTTGACGTTGCTCCATTTTGTTTACAGTGGGTCTGGTAGAGCTGCTGTGGAGAAAAAGAAAAAGAACGTCCTCTTTTTTTCTTTCTCAGTTCATTACAGGTTCGTCATTGTTTTGTCCTGAAACCCCCCTCACCCTCAGCTCCTCCCTCTGCTGGCAGCAGGTAGTTTCGCAGGTTTTTTACTCCACCTCACACTTCAGTTCTAAACTTGTGAAACCAACTTGATGCTGCTCTCACCTGGGGGTCCCCCCCCCGTCCCCCTGAACGTTTTGTGTTTTCACACTTGTGTGGGTGGGTGAAAGGGATGATGTCATGTGACAGTCACATGATAACATGTGGTGTTCTCACCAGTTTTTTTTTTTCTAACTAAAAATTTGACGAGCCTATGAGTTTGTTGTTATGATTGTCGTTTTCTAAAAAGATTAGTTTCTTCTCGGTGTAAAGGAAATTTACCATGACTGCTTCGTAACGAAGCACCCGATGTTCCTGAGATTCTCAGGGCCTTGTGTTTTTGTTGTTGATGATAATGTTGTCTTAATAAACACACTTTTTTTTCAATGCTGTAAGGTTTTCCTTTTGTAACCATCCATATCTCCTAGCTGGTTTACTGCTGAAACATTATTATTCTTATGTAGATAAAGAAACGAATCATAACTAGTAATTAGTAACTTAAGACGATATCACCAGGAGGAACTTCAATGATAAGAAAATATTCTTTATTGATGGGGAAATAAAACATCTAAAAATAAGGAATACAGAAAAACAAAATCATTGATGTTTAACATCTATTAGGATTATATTTTCATGACAAATATGTGAGTGTTTTCCAATGATTTATTGAGTTGTTTACCATGACCTGCCCTCATTTTTAGTCTTGACACCATATGAAGTGTGTGTGTGTGTGTCTGTCTGTGGTCAACGTGGTTCTTGAAGGGCATATGTTCACTATAACCCTATAAATACCCCTAACCTCCTCCCCCCTCCTCTTTTCTTGGCAGGGTTGGATCAACATTAGCCTCTGACACCAGCAGCTTCCTTGAAAAACATGTTTTGCTGTCGTGGCTTTTGCCAGTCAGGATCCGACTCCCCCTGCTGCTGCTGCTGGATCACTGCACGTGTGTCGGTGTGGAAGTGTGAGTATTCCGTCATCTGTTTGCCCGCGGCAGCCAGAGCTGGAGCGGGAGACTGACATCATGTTTCAGGTGTTTACTCTCCCACTCCTCAGTCCAAGGAGAAACTCAGTGACTCAGTTTCAGTGACTTTAACTCACAGACCAAAGTCTATGGAGAAAAATAAAAGGTTAGTGGTTTTAGCTGACTAACCACTGCTGTGGTCGGTTTGTGTCACCGACAGAGGCAGCCGAGGACCAACATCTGCTGTGAGATGAAATCACTGCTTTTCTCTTTAGACCTTGATGTGGAACAATGAGTGTTTTACAAACTACACCCCAACCAAAAAAAACCAAACAAAACAAGTCTAACAGATGTCGATAAACATCACGGTTAGTTTTTAAAACAGACGGCAGGTATCTTCACTGTATCTTTGTGACAGTGGCTCCCCCTGCTGGAACAAAATCGCCATAGTTTCCATTCATTTTGCCTGACTTCGTGTCTGTCTTCTGGTAATATGTAGTTTCTGCCGCTGACTTTATCTGACTTTAAAAATTAAAGTAAGCGGCAAGCGAACTTCTCAAACACATGTAGACAGTGGTCCGTTTACACTAACAATGTATAATCTATAAATCTATCAATCCAATCGATTACACACTGTGTCCTCTAGAGAGCAGCAGAACATCATTCCTGCAGTCAATCAGTTTCAGTGATGGAATCAACTCAGGTAATCTCTTCAACAACTCTCCCTTCTCTAAATCTGTTATTATTATTATTATTATATCTGTAATATTAGAGACTTTTTGTCTGTATAGAGCCTGACCTACATCTGCCGGAGCAGTGGTCAGCCTCAGTTCAATATAAAACATGCCCTCGTTTCTTCTCCTCTCCCCCAGCCCCCGTCACTGCTGGGAGATGATGACCCGCAGCTATGTCCTTGGAATGACCTCAGCGACTTCACCAAGAGCAGAACTGGGCTAATGATGTGTCCCAGACTGGGAATTCCTGGAAAAGCAAAGGGAGGAAAAGGCTTCTCATTTGAACGACTGCCAGTCTGTCTGAGTAGAACAGCTTTACTACTGCCCCCCCCCACACTCCAGCCTCCTACCCCCCTGTGATGCCGAATGTAAGTTATTCAAACTTTCTCAGAGTGAAAACCACGGCTGCTTTGATAGAAAGGAGATTAAAAAAAACCCTGATTTTTATAATTAACTCACTCTTCCACACCAAAGTCCATGGAGAAAATGAGTGATTTTAGTCAAATCAGAGACTTTTCCTTGGAGCTTCTTTTCCTTCTGTCAGCGTTGTTTTTACTTTTCACACTCCCACTAAAATCTACCTCAGTAAACTTTTTACCATCATGTGATGCTGCTTCATCACATACTAACGTTATCACCCAAATATCCAGCTTCTATATAAATAGGTGGCGACAGCAGATACAGGTACGCGTGAGAGTGTGCGTGTGTCTGCCGTCGCCGCTGACCTGAATTCACCGCCGCTGAAAAGCCTGACTGCTGCAGTGAGGGAAAAGAAAAAGTGGAGCACAACACATTTGCATTTTACTTCTTATAAAATGAATCCATGGAAATAAATATCAGTCTGTCTTTGATCTATAACATCAAAGAGCATCGTCAACAAAACAGGAGGAACGCTGACCGTTCTCACATGACGTGACCCCACAGAATCCTCCGGTGGGTCACCTTCAGGTCAGATCTCCTGGTTTTACCACCACAGTTCTCCTCCTCCACTGCTGCGAGTGCTCGCCCTCTCACGCCCGTGCAGCTTCAACATCTCCAGAATGCTCCGGGCGTAGGCGTCCCTCAGGTTCACACCTCCCCCCAAACCTTTTCCACTTCCTGCTCCTTCTTCTTCATCTTCCGTCTCTTCAGTTGATCCACGAGCCAACCGTTTCATCACCTCCCCGTGCCGTATGGCCGCCTCCTTCACCTTCATGTTCAGGTAGCAGGTGGCGAAGCGGTCGTTGATGATGGCGATGGGCAGGGCCAGGACCAGGATCCCAGACAGGATGCACAGAAAGCCCAGCACTTTCCCTGCTGCCGTGTCCGGACGGATGTCCCCGTAGCCCACGGTGGTCATGGAGGTGGTGGCCCACCACCATGCAGCTGGGACACTGGTGAAGGTGGTGTAGGGGATGTCATGCTCCAGAGCGTAGACCACCATGGCGAAGATGGAGATGCCGACGCCCAGGAAGAGCAGCAGGAGGCCGATTTCCTCGTAGCACTGAGTGATGGTGACGCCCAGAGACTTCAGACCTGGACACAGAGCAGAACAGAGAAGGTTGAAGACGTTGAAGTCACCGTCAGGTGTATGTGAGAAGAAGTGTCGTTCAAAGATGGGATGGTTTGGTCATTGAACGACCGGCGAAGACTGTGACGACCTGAGAAGACCACAAACGTGGACTTCAGGTGTGTGGACCTGTTGATGGTTGTTCAAACCCTGACCAAACGGTGGAGCTGTTGTTGTGTTTACCTGTGGAGTGTCGTCCCAGCTTCAGCATTCGCAGGGACCTGAGGATTCGGAGGACCTGCACCACGCGGCCCATGTTCTCCAGCTCAGTGGTTCCTCCATGGACGCTCTCCACCGCCAGGGTGACGTAGAAGGGCAGGATGGACAGCAGGTCGATCACGTTGGGAATTCTGCGACTGAAGCGACACTTGTCCCTCACACAGAGGAACCTCAGCACCAGTTCACATGTGAACCACACCACACACGTGTACTCCAGACCGTCAAACAACAACGGAACACCAGGTCCAATGTCGGCAAAGCCAAAGTCCTCGCCTGAGTCCAGAGAGACCAGCACCATGCTGATGACTGACAGCACCACGAAGAAGAGCGACAAGGAGCCGAAGGTACGAGCTGCTCGTGATGAATCAGGTTTTTCCAGAAGGTTCCACAGACGCTGCCGTAGAGCGGGACAGCTGGTGCCCGTGAAATCCTCTTCGCAGCTGACGTCGTTGGCCTCAAAATCCCGGTGCACGTCCAAGGTCTCCTTCTGGTCCTTGCGGCGGTAGTAACGTTCACGGCAGCAGGAGTGGATCCTCAGCTCATCGATGCCCCAGTACTCCATCTCCTGCAGGAAGGAGATCTCACACAGCTCCTCGCTGACGTGGAGGTGACCTGTGCGGTAGAAGTTGATCACATACCTGTTTGTAGAAAAGACACAGAAGAAACATGAAGTGACCAGACTGGACCATGACTGGAGAAGGTCCTGAGAGTTTACCGTTTACACTGGGAGGTTGGCGCTACCTACTGGAAGGTCAGTGAGTTTCGGTCGAAGAAGAACTCATTCTCTGAGAAGTCAGCGTCATCACAGAGGTCCAGAGCCAGGTCTTGGTCACCGCGGGCCAGTTTCCCCAGCCGGGTCTCGGGGTACGCCGACAGCAGCTCCTGGGACAGTTTGTAGCGACTTCCACCAACGTTCACAGTCAGGAAGTTTGTTGAATCTCCAGTCACTGACGCTGACGTCTCGCTGTAGAAGACACTGGAGTCCAGAGACACTGTTGAGGTGCTGTCACTGGAGGACTCTGCCCCGACAACCGAGCGAAAAGACAGGCTCATGGTGGAGTATGAGGAGCAGGGCGGCTGCAGATGCAGAGAGGTAATGACATTTTTTTTTTCAACAAAACCTAAAGGAAAATGTCTTCCATAGCGCGTACAGTTACTTTTTTATGTAGGTCACGTAGTTAAATATCACACAGAAAAAAAAATTTCAAAAAGAATTTTTTGAAAAAAAAATTTCTGAACAAAATTTTTTTTTGAAAATTTGTTTTAGAAAAATTTTTTTTGAAAATTTTTTTTGAAAAAAAATTTCTGAAAAAAATTTTTGTGAATTTGTTTTTAAATTTGGAAAAAAAATTTTTTGAAAAATGTTTTTTTGAAAAAAGTTTATGAATTTTTTTTTTCAACTTTTTTCAGGAGTTGCTACAGCAAATCATTGATTTCCATCTCTCCCTGTTCTCTGCATCTCCTACTCTGACTCCAACTATCTGCATGTCCTCCCTC